ATGAAAGTCAAATGTTTTAAATTTATCTCAATAAAAGTAAAAATTCTTTTCGAAGAAATGCCAGAGTGAAATTTGGGATACTCATCAAAGTCAAATGTTTCAAATTTATCTCAATAAAAGTAAAAATTCTTTTCGAAGAAATGCCAGAGTGAAATTTGGGATACTCATCAAAGTCAAATGTTTCAAACTTTTTTCAGTAAAAATAAAAATTCTTTTCAAAAAAACGCAAGAGTGAAATTTGGGATACTCATCAAAGTCAAATGTTTCAAATTTTTCTCAATAAAAGTAAAAATTCTTTTCGAAGAAATGTCAGAGTGAAATTTGGAATACTCATCAAAGTCAAATGTTTCAAATTTTTCTCAATAAGAGTAAAAATTCTTTTCGAAGAAATGCCAGAGTGAAATTTAGGATACTTTTCAAAGTCAAATATTTAAAATTTTTTTCAGTAAAAATAAAAATTCTTTTGGAAGAAATTTGGCTCGGGTCATTAATGACCCAGGCTGCCAAAGAAGACTTTCGGTTTGAGGTTATGTACGGAAAGGTAGAAGAATAGCGAGATGTGTTGTAATTAATACATTGTAGCTAATGCATTTATAATACGTGTAGTTAATACGTTGTACATAACACATTAATGAATTACTACAACATACACACTACCCCCTCAAAAGTTTACACAAAAATTTCCAGAAAAGCGTTACCAACTTCACCAATTTTCCACCGAATTTTATACCATTCAAATCTCCCGAAACGAAGCAAATTGCTATTGATCTCCAGAACATCAATCTCGAGTCTGTAAAGAATTAGTAATACACAGATTCAATATCGGTGTAAATTGGTCTCGAACTTTTGATTGGTAATCCATATGCATATCTATCGGAACATATAAATAAATGAATTTCAATGAAATATGCATTCATCGCTGAAAATATGATTTTCAAAAAGTAAACATTATACAACAATCTTTCTAAATAATTCTGTTCCACGTCAATTTATCCTGAGTATCCTAAAATATCTTTCTCAGATTCGTTATACATTACTAATACGTTTAAAAAATTTCTTTGGAATACAAATTCTCAAAATTCTCCGCGAACTCTAAATATTCCAAGGAAGCGTTTATTTTCTTGCACCGTTGAAAATACTGATCCGAGATTGCCGTGTAATGTGAATAGCCCGGCAGATTAATAGCGCTAATGAACGTCGCGGGGAGTGCAAAGTCGAAGGAAATGATCGAAGAGTGGATGGATATGGAAGTCAATCTCGATATTATGGGAACGGGGAAAATTTCCAGGCATGTAACGAGCCACGTCTCGGATATTAAGAAAATAAGAATTCCAGGAATGTGGTTGCTTCGGTGCTGACTGTGTGATTGAGTGCACGAGACAGGGTGTCTCGAAGAATGCAGAGAAAATTCGATTTTAACCCTTTCGCTGTTGATTAAAACGACGATGTTCGGCAATAAAAATGCGCATTTCTTTTATGTTTGAAAACACTTGGAAATAGTACAAAATGTAGGAAGAGAGAAATGATCATGCGTAGATTTTTCGTGTAATTGTTCATTTAAGGTTAATTTGTGATCCTTGGATATTTCCTCTCCAATTAATTAACGCGCTGATTTATTCGAAATGTTGCATTCTCTACAGATAAACAGAAAAATATATATATATATAATTTCGAGAGAATGGCGTCTTTAACAAACAATAAGTTCAATTCGCCGTTTACATTTTAATTACAAATCGGGCTGGCGTTGCAGCCGCGGAAGTAATTATGAAATAAAAATGAAGCACACGTGCCGCTTCACTTCTGATAAATCAAGCATTCCGTAATTAAACCTTGAAAGGTATTAAAATTGAAACTAAAATACTGGTAATTGTGGATACGGTGCCCTTTCTCCGTCGCACGTCAGATCCTATCGCGGGCGTTTCACTTTCTCAGCGTCGTCGCTCGTCGGTGCAACAGCCATGTTCGTATATAATAATTCCTGGTTCGAGGGCTCTCGCCCCGGGGGCCGCTGCGGAATTATTTTTCACACGAACGCGAGACCAACACCGGCGAATGTTACGATCATTGATAGCGGTTGCAACACGTGTGCAGCGGAAGCCTTGAAATTTTAAACATCGCGGTACGTAATGATACCTC